CTAGAGCTTGTGCACATAGATATCTGTCAGAACAAGAGATGTATTTTGCAACTTTATATGTTCTTCTAAATTGCAATGAAGTACAACCATTCATTGAGTAAGTTTTACTTCAATATTATATTGGTAAGTGATGTAGTGTTGATTTTGTTTGACTTGTAGTTTTTTTTTTTTTTTTTTTTACATTTGAATGGCATAAGTCAAGAAGATGCTGGAACACGGATTCAAAATGAATTTCTCACCTAGTTTAAGGCTTATGTAAGTATTTCATTTACATGTGAAGTAATAATATTATTTTATGTAATTAACTTTTTCAATATATTATAAATGGGTGCACGATCCTGCCAATGGTGTCACAAATTCGCACTTACGTGATTTAGTATTGGGACCAAATTCAAGTGCGAGATCGTATCACAAGTACTTTGTAAATGGTTATACGTTCCACACAAATGAATACTCCTGAGGAAGGAAAACTGTTAATAGTGGTGTATATATAAAAAGTGTTAGTAGCGTGGGAAAAATTGAATATTATGATATCCTTAAGGAAGTTATAGAATTGGAATATCCACGTGAACCTATAAAAAGGGTTGTTTTGTTTTTGTGTAAATTGTTTAATCTAAAAAAATCTCGTGGTACAAGAGTTCATCCCTTTATAGCATTATTGAAGTTATTGTAATAAGGAATATAATCAATATGATCCATTCATCATTGCTCAAAATACTGGACAAGTTTATTATATTCCTTATCTAGCCATTCAAATGGACAAGGCCCATTGGTATGTGGTTATGAAAACAAAACAACCAGGCGAATAGAAATTGAGAATGTAAGTGCTGAAAAAGTTTATCAATAAGGGTCCATGTCTCATGTAATGCTTGTAAATGATGCCAATCCATTAGATAGATTGCGTCATGAAGCAGGATTATATGACGAGATTGATCCAAATAGGTGGATCAAGAATGACTGACAGAAGATGATCAATATGAAAATGAAGAGGATGAGAAATAATTTATTGAATTCGATGACGACACTGAACCATCGAGAGATTATGAGGAAGAACAGGAGGAGGATGAAGAGGTGGCAAAGGAGGACGATCAAAGTTGTTTAGATTAAATTGTTATATTTTTTTATTTTGTATGTTTTGTGACAGTGAATTTTCTGCTATGTTTTTGAGTAATTAATATGTTTTATTTGATTGTATAATTATTTTAGTTTTTTTCTTAATTTTGGAACTATAAAGGTTATTAAAAAACAAATTACATATCAATTTAAAAAAGGAAATTATATATTAATTTAAAATAAGTTAAGTAATAATTCATTCTATCTTATATAATTTTAAAAAAGAAATTACATATATCTATCAATATAGATGGATTTCGAGCGTAGACCCAATAAGGGTAAGGGGCTAAATACTGGCCACTCGAATAAACAGCGCGATCCTCCTATACACCACCTCTCAGGACCCTTGCCGCTAGTTATTATCAAGGAGTCCATTGATCCTACTCGTGCCTATTATGATTACGGGGCCCCACGTTCTCAGTACGTGTCAGGACCTCCTCAGTTCATGCCTACTCTTGGATACATTCCTATTCCATCTACTATTAGAGAACCTGCTTCACCGACATCTGCCTACAATGCGGCTGCCAATACTGATGGAGCTTCTCCTTTAGTCCTTGTACCGGATTCTTCTTCGTCCGATCCTGCTCAAGTAGGATCATCTACCACATGTTCTAACAATTTTGGGAAGACGTTGATCAGGCCTATTGGCAATGTCGGGTAAGTATTAAATATTTATTATTTAAAAATTTTGATAAATATTTCTTAATGCATTAATTATTAGTATTGATTTTTTAATTTTTTACTGCTGTAGATTTCATCCTTCGACGGCTACTACTCATGTTATCACAGCAATTATTCGGTCGAAGTTCATGTCGTGTTATCCCACATGGAGGACAGTTCCTCATAATTTGTGGTTTGATGAGTTTTGAGTTTGTATTTCAATGCAGTCATGGTTAAATATTTTTTTATCTGTAATATTAATTGATATTTTATTGACTGTTTATTTCTGTCTTTATGTACAAATATTGTACATGAGATCCACGAGACAAGCCAGCCATTAGACAGATATTCAGTAATCATGGATCTCATAAACTTTTTGATATGCTTCGAGATACCTGAATTAAAGGTAGACCAAACTAGACACCGCCTTCTGTGTGAAAGGAGCTTTCGACTTATCGGAGATGAGAGAGGTTTACTAAGATAAAATCCTAGAATAAAGGGACTACTGTTCAGAAAAAGGCGATTCTCTTCACACAGGAGGCTCTATTCCTCCACATAGGCATGCTATGAGGATGGTAAGTTTCATTTCTCCACATAAGTTTTATTATTTTTTGATAGTTATAAATAATCACAATATTTTTATTATGTATTGCATGAAAAAGAGATCGGAGAACTCCCCATTTTTTTGAGATTTTTAAGCATACTCATGTTAGGAAGAAAGATGGTCATGAGGTATGGATGGACCAACAATTGAAGAAAACTTATGTAAGTAAATTTTATTTAGCATCTTTAATTATATTATTTATTAAATTTTATGTAAGCATACTTATATTATTTATTAACTTTTTATAATTAACAGCTTTAATTGTTAAACTTATTTTATAATATACTTTGTGTATGTAGACTAACTTCCAAACTGCCAAACTACCCAATCTTCCCAATCGACATCTGAAGAGACGTCTACTCTAGAGTCTCAGTGGATGGCAGACACTGAGCTGTGAGAGAGGTGCGCTGGGGAGAGAGCCTTCAACCGTGTATACAGTCTTGGATGGCAGAGCTCTTCTCAGTCAGTCCACTATCCTCCATCCGATAGTACGGATCAATTTATGAGATTGGAGATGCAGAATCTCCATCAAGAGAATCAGGAGCTTTGAGAGAAGGTGGGGAGTATGGAGCTTACCCTTTATAATCTGTAAAAGATGATTGAAGGGTTAAGGGGCACACCACCCGGTCAGCTATGCCTTCTAGTGCCTACTCATGATACTGACTCTTCTTTATCTTAGTCGGGCGATAGCGGTTGTCGAGACTGATTTTTTGTTTTTTGAGATCTTGTTTCATATGTTTAGTGACATTATTTTATGTTTGTAATGAGATATTTGGATATTATTTATGTGCATGTTATTTCAATTTTATGTAAATATGTATATTAAATAAATTATCATAAAATAGATATTTCAAAAATATGTAAAATTAATAATAAATAATAATTAAAAAATTATTTAATAAAATTAAAAATAAAATTATATAATATAATATATTAGTATTAATTAAATAATTAATAATAAATAATTGAATTAAAAAAATTGATTTTTTTGCGTCCGAAAATTCCGGCGCCACTTGCGTTGGAAAATTCCGACGCAGCTTGTGTCGAAAAATTCCGGCACACGTTTGCGTCAAAAATTTCCGATGCAGCTTGCATCGGAAATTTCCGACGTAACTATACTTTAGTAAATTCCAACTAATGATGTACGTCGGAAATTTTTGACACATTTTATGACCTATTTTTGGTCAGAAATTTCCGACACAACAAAGTTGTGTCAGTAGAATTTTTTCCAACGGCCCGTTTTCTGACGAATATTTTTGCGTCGGTAACTTTATTATCAATGCAATTTTCTCTCTTACTGACACTTTTTTTGCATCGGTAATTCTCCCTTTTCTTGTAGTTTTTAAATATAATTGAATTATTTGTGTAAATTATACTATTTTTATTTGAGTTATATATATGACAAATCAGAGTAACTAGGTTAGTAAATTAATATACTAACATACAATGGTGTGGAGACAATTCCCCTCGGGATTAACTTGTCCAGTTTGGAAATGTTAGGAGGCACGTATGGTCCCCCGTTCATGGGGACTATTAATTAGTTTCTGGAGAGTAAAAAATTTGAACCAAATGGAGGACCATTAGTTGCACAATTGGCAAAGTATCCTAATAAGCTTTTCGTAGCCCTAGGCAGCTGTCTAAAAGGTACGCTTTAGAGGCAACTCATTTAATATTGTTAAATATCCCCTCCACATGGAACACGTAAAGCCTGCTGGACTATTTGAAGGCAAATTTAAATTATCTCATAAGTTCTGATGTTTCTCTAGTTAAAAAGCATTGTGATTCAGATCCATGGAGAGCTGCTTTAAATAAGTTTTTTGGATGAGTATTTTCTTTCACAGCTATTGGTATATAGACTTAAATATATATATTAATATTTTTTCTGACATTTATTAACTTATAAAATTATTATTTATCAATTCAATTATTGTCATATATATTCTTTTTTTAAAATACGAGTATATTTTCATCATTATCACGTGAACACAATTTATTTGACCAAGTTTTAAAATTTTAAATTATAAAGATAATTTAATTAATTATTTGGATTTTGAAGGAAAAATTTAAATCTGTCCCATGCAGGGCACAGTAAACAATCTAGGTGCTTCTAGTTTTATCACAAAAAAAAAAAAAAGAAAAATCAATTTGGAAGCTTGCTTTCACGTTTCTTCCATAAATCAAGGCTTCAGAACCAATGAAATTTACGTACACTTGTATATGATCTATTTGCAAATGGCATTTTCATAATTACTCCTGTTAAAAGCTTAATACAATGTAACTAGGGAATAACTGTTATGTTACCTCAGCACCAACCATAAGAATGCTGATAGACGCATGTCAATTATTGCGGCCCATAGTGGTAGGAAAACTCAATCGGAGGCCACACTGATGACCTAGTTTTTGATTTGCATGGCCATCATCTCAGTGTCATTTGCTCTCAATTACCCTATTTATTTAAAAAATTTCCGGGTTTTTTACAACATTTTTAGTTCCTATAATTTTTAGTCGGAGTTAAAATCATATAGCATAAGGCTTATTGATTAAGTATACTTATTCTAACTGTGTATAAAATAATACAGTAATGTTGAGAATTGGTTCTCAATGCTATGGCTGAAGTCTATTATTACCCATTGTAATGGAGAGCTTCTTTGAGAAAATTATCAAAATTTTCGTAAGAAGATACTCCAGCAAGAGAGGCTTCTTCTGCTTTCTTCTTCCATTCTAGAGCATTTCTCCTCATCTGTTTCCCTCGTTCACCTTCCATCATTTCATTAACAAGTGCTTCAATCTCATCACGTTTTACATCGGGATTAACCTCCACCCCTATCCCCCATTTGCTGCATGCATAACGACAATTTGTTTGTTGCTCTGCAAAGAAAGGCCAACAGATTAAAGGTACTCCTCCTCCCATGCTCTCCAACATTGAGTTCCACCCACAATGTGTGAGAAAGACTCCTATTGATGGATGCAAAAGCACTTGTTCTTGCAGACACCAACTTACTACCAATCCCCTATCCTTAGTCTCCTCAAGAAAATGTTCAGGTAGGATTGCTGATTCACCCATTATCACATCTGACCGGAGTACCCACAGGAACGGGCGCTTGCAGTTGGCGAGCCCCCATGCAAATTCTACGAGGTGTTGGTGCTTCATGACAGTCATGGATCCATAACTCACATACATAACTGAGTTTGGTTCTTTTTCATCTAGCCACTCAAGGGTTCTTGTGTCTTCCTTCCAGAGACTCGAATTGAGAGAGCTGTAATGGTCTTCAATAATCACTTGCTTGGATAGCAAGGATAGAGGTCCTGCAGTGTAAATATTGGGATGGAAATGGGTGGAGATAGCTTGCAAGACTTGTTGCTCTAACTCATCAAATGTGTTGAAGATGATTGCAGAGGCCTTCAAGCAATTTTGCGGTTCATCTTTCGTGAAATTGAGCAAGATGTCATTAGGATTGGTGGTTCTGATCAAGGATGGAAGGTCCTTGAGCCTGATGTTTGTCATGCCAGGGATCCAATCTATAGTTGCTTCAAGCGACCCGTCACTTCCAAAATTCTCATCTGGTCCATATACATTAGATAAATGTATCCATTAATTGCTTAGAAATTCCACAAAATGATCTAATATAATCATCATGAATTTAAACATAGATTTCCTGTTTCATCGCAAGCTGGTGACATTTTCATCTAGCATAATTAATGCTTTCAAGAGAAAACAAAAATAGAAAACGAAATGACAACGAACAAGATTTCAACCACAAATGTAAACATTCAAATCAAGGAACCAAGATGGTATTCTGGTAAGCGGGCAAAACAGGGCTAGATAAATTCTAGACAATGCATAGGCCCAGCCGTCTCATTCTGTTGGCTGATCTGGAATTGAGGTTGAATGGGCATCTGAAGTTTCTTAGATTAGTAAAGAGATTATATTCCTGCTCCAGTCTAGTAATTTTCTTGCGAGAATTTTGTCTAACGGCTTGGACATGCTCTTTAAGATTTGTCTTGAAACAACACGCAAGTTATATATATATATATATATATATATATATTTGCTGTTTTAATAAGCACAACATGCAAGTTCTTAGTGATAGAATTAGTAACCTTTCAGAAATAATAGAATTTTAGTAACTTAAGGTGTACCTTTGAATGGGATAATCCCTCTTCTAATCAGTTCAGGAAACTGAAGATAACCCATGAAGCCACAAGCTGAGGCAGTCCAGAACTGAACCCCTGGAATGCCATATTCTTTCGCAGCTTGAACGGCGAAGCTCATGGCACCATCAGAAACAACGCAGGTGACCGGTGGCAATTTTGGGGAGGAAATGAGTCTGGCTAATAATTCCCGAAAGGGGTCTAGACAATAATTTTGGACAGCATAGCAAAGGGCAGGAGGATCTTGAGTCGCATCACGATCAGAAGGAGGAAGCCCGTCCGGAATGGTCTCAAACCGGAAATCAGGAAGGCCCCTGAGGCCATCCGGCGGACCGGAGCGGAACATGCGTCTGTGGTTGAACTCAGTGTTGAGGAAGGTGATATGGAAGCCTTTGGAGTGGAAGAAGCTTGGCAGCTGCATCATGGGTTTTACATGGCCTTGTGCTGGAAACGGCACACAAATTGCATGTAGTTTCTTGTTTTCCGATTTGTTCTCCATGGTTGGAACAAATATCCCACCAATTTTAGTTTGGGGGAAACATATAACTTGATCAAATAGCTGGCCAGTTTTCTTTTTATCGGACTTTTGGTATGTAATTTTGATTTTTCTTTTACTTGCATTTGAGGCAGCAAAATAGAAAGGTCAAAAATGAACGGACAGAATTTATGTCGAGAGTTGGCGTGTCACATTAAAAATTTGAGCTTTGAAATGGGAGAACAGTGGCAAACTTGATCAAGGAATTGACAAATCAACGGCGATGAGCAAAAGAAGTCTGCTCACCGGCCCCTGTGCATCTGATTGCGTGATTTATCGGTAAACTTATTCATCGTATCAGTCGTATATAGCAGTTATTTTAACTAATAATTTACTATTTTATAAACGGATAAATATTAAAAAAAATATCAATTCTTTATCAAAAAAATTACCGAAAGAATAAAATAATTTTTTTAGTAAAGTGATATGAGTATATTAAAGCAAAACCAAGCTGCTGTTGGCTGCTATTAATTTTTTTTCTTTTTTAAAAAATTATAATAAAGAAAGGTCAATAGATGAATTCTTGTAGGAATGGTCTAATTATCTTTCTATTAGAAAGCTACAAACGGTTTTATTTTATTTCCTACTTTAGAAAAATATATACCAGAGACGGCCGGCAGCATGCAGAACATCAAAATCAGAAGTGCCGTCATTGACGGGAAAGAAAATCTGATTGCTCATGTAGTGTGTTCAAACGATAAGGGCTTTTTTGAGATCTGACTCATCTCCATCATTGTAATTATATTATACTGCAAAATCTTTTGCTAATGGCGGCAGCACAGAAATTTTTTTTAAAAAAAAAAGATTCATGTTTATACAACTTCAAAAAAATTAGTTTGATTCATTGTCTAATTTTTAATAATTTTAATTAAATTAATCTAATAAAGTAAGAAAAACTTACTTCCTTGCTTGTAGTTAATTGTTAACAATTATCGGGGACATATTTACTCACTACCAGAAAAATAGGTTTAAATGACCGCAGTAGCAGTCACTAAATACAAAGAAAATCGGTAATTGAATAATCAGTGACCGTATTTGTGACCGATAAAATCAGTCAGAAAAATGCTCGTCACTAATTTCTGTAATCACTAATTAGTGACCAAATCAGTGACCGTTAACTGTGGTCACTAATTTGTGACCGCAGTTTTGGGATCACTAATTTGTGGTCACTTATACATATATATATATATATATATATAAAAAAAATGAATACACACTACCAATTAATAACCACATTAAATTAGTTATTATTTTATATATATGGGTCATAAAAAAGTTACTAATTTCACAATTTTTGCGAGGTCACTAATTACAATTTTTATAATTCACAAATGACTCATTCACTATAAAAGAATATAATTCCCATAATATACACTCATCATTTCAATCCTCAATCACCACAAACAAACATAAAAAATAATTAAAAATCATAATGCATGTAATTTTATATGTAATATTGTTAAATAATACAAATACATTCTTAATATTCAAAAAATGTGCTCTTAGTAATTACATAAAGAACAACCCAGTAAGTTTTCCCCCATGCATGCCCTCCTTAGCTGGGTCCTCCTTCCAGTCTACTTTTCTATCAATGATTTAATCTGGTTTCTTCTGCAAAAATAAGACAAGAAAAAATAAAGTAATTACCATTATAAAATTTCAAATATGAAATGAAATGAAAAGAAAATGAAGAATAAAGAGGTTTCAATTTTGTATAAATAAATTTGTCTTATTCCCTCATTTATTTTTCAAACCATTCAATTAACTAATCAGTTTCAACCCTCTAAAACATATTCAATGCCCATAATAGAGAGAATCAAAGAAATGAATTACTCACACAATCCCCACGTGGGACATCACTCCATCTTTGTTAAATAATTTTTCTAACAAAATTTTATAAACCTGTAAAACTTGGGAATATTCACCCGTGCATATTGGATAAAATAGATTTGTTTGCTAATCTTCTAGTGGCTATTTACAAAAGTTAAGCATAAAATATGGGAGAAGAGTAACTATACTTAAGAAGAGACTAACTTACCTTTCAAACTTGAAAATAGGAGAGATAACAGTTCATAGAGGTAACCAAACAAACTAATATTCTCCCTTGACAGATTAGTTGTGAGCTATAGCAAACTTGGGCCATCTGTTCTGCTCATCTCCCTATATTCAACTCAAACTTCTCACTAAATAGTTTTTTTTTTTTTTGTAGAGAAAATCATGAATCAGGGAAGATGAAAACCCATTTTGGAATGGAGTGTTACATGTAGGGTCTAGACATTTGGATTAAATAACTCAGTTTTGGGAAGAGAGAGGGCCGGAGGAGGGAAGAACTAAAAACAGAGAGAGAGAGAGAGAGAGAGAGAGAAGGGAAATGAAATTTTGGGGGGGTTCCAAATTCAATAAAGATATCTAAATTAGACAATCCAATTTTGGGAAGAGAGAGGGCGGGAGGAGGGGAAAACTAAAAATAAAGAGAGAATAAGAGAGAGAAAAGAGGGAAATGAAATGTTGGGGGTGTTCCAATTTCAATAAAGAGAGAAGGAGGGAAAATGAAAAATGGAGAGAGTTGAGGGAAAATTTTAGGAAAGCAAGTTTTAATTTTATATCAGATTCTACGGGTTTCAGGTCAGCTTTCGATATTTTTATATTTTTTAGATTAGAATTCTCTCTTTTTAATAGCTTTTATCAATTTTTTTTAAAATAATTTATAATATATTTCAATTTAAAATACCCACAAAATTAAAGAAAAATATAGAAACTTAAAACCAAATATAAATTTAGTATTTAATTATAATGTCACACAAAATAGAATGAAATTAGATTTTAAAATTTAGTTTGGTTTTTTTAAATTTGGTTGGGTTTGGTTTAAAAAAATAATCCAAAATTATGGTTTGGTTTGATTATTTTAATCAAAACCAAAATTTTAAAATATTTCTCCCTCATAAAAAATATTAATATGCAAACCCACATGTACATATATTTATATAAATACATATTTAGATACATATATATATACACCTGTTTGCGTGCATAAACACACACCTATATTTGCTTACATACATATGCTTGTAACTAAACAAAGCTTTGCTTATAACTAGACGGAATTGTACTTGTAATTGAACCAATTGATACCTATGAGACTTGAGCTTAAACTATATGTTTGTAACTGAACAGAGATGTGCTTGTAATTAAACGAAGCTCTACTTATAACTGAATAGGACTGTGCTTGTAACTGGATCAATCAATGCCTTTGAAACTTAGGCTTAGACTTAGTTCACAAAATAGAGATATATAATTGTAAACGAACGGAGATCTGCTTATAACTAAACGAGACTCTGCTTGTAACTTGACGGAACTATGCTTGTAACTGAACCAATTGATTCCTGTGAGACTTGGACTTAGACTATATACTTCTAACTAAACGGAAATGTGCTTGTAATTAAACAGAGCGTTGCTTGTAACTGAAAGTTGTGCTTGTAACTGAACCAATTGATTCCTATGAGACTTGGGCTTACACTATATGCTTGTAACTAAACGGAGATGTGCTTGCAATTAAACAGAGCATTGCTTATAACTAAACTAAGCTGTGCTTGTAACGGAACCAATTGATCCCTGTGAGACTTGGGCTTAGACTATATGCTTGTAACTAAACGAAGCTGTGCTTGTAATTAAACAGAGCACTGCTTGTAACTGAACTAAGCTGTGTTTGTAACTGAATCAATTGATCCCTGTGAGACTTGGGCTTAGACTATATGCTTGTAACTAAATGGAGATGTGCTTGTATTTAAACAGAGCGCTGCTTGTAACTGAACTGAGCTATGTTTGTAACTGAACCAATTGATCCCTGTGAGATTTGAGCTTAGACTATATGCTTGTAACTAAACAGAGATGTACTTGTAATTAAACAAAGCGCTGCTTGTAACTGAACTGAGCTGTGCTTATAACTGAACCAATTGATTCTTGTAAGGCTTGGGCTTAGACTATATGCTTGTAATTAAACAGAGATGTGCTTGTAATTAAACAGAGCGCTACTTGTAACTAAACTGAGCTGTGCTTGTAACTAAACCAATTGATGCCTATGAGACTTGAGCTTATACTATATGCTTGTAACTAAACGGAGATGTACTTGTAATTAAATAGAGCGCTGCTTGTAACTGAATTGAACTGTGCTTATAATTGAACCAATTGATTCCTGTGAGACTTGGACTTAGACTATATGCTTGTAACTAAATAGAGATGTGCTTGTAATTAAACAAAACGCTACTTGTAACTGAACTGAGTTATGCTTGTAACTAAACCAATTAATATCTTTGAAACTTTTACTTAGACCTAGTTCACAAAATAGAGATATATGCTTGCAATTGAATAGAGATCTACTTGTAAATAAATGGAAATATGCTTGTAACTAGATAGAAATGTGCTTGTATAGTATAATTTAACAAAATTATATTTTCTTAAAATTAGTATTTAATTATAATATTGTGTGAAATATAATGGAATTAGATCTTGATTTTCAAATTTTAATTATATGAATTTTTAATTTGTATCAATTTAATTTATAAAAATGAGGATATATATATACATATATATAGAAGTACAAAATAATTACAAAATGGGTATACTAATTAATTTTATACTTAATCCAACATTACATATATACTATTATTTTTATTTGATATTCCATTTGGTATTTCTAGTATAAATTTCTTATTTCTTATATTTTACCATGATATATACACTAAATGACATATCTGATCTTCATTATAGTATAGTTGTTACAATAATTCTGCTAAACATTAAAGATTAAGTATTACAGACCCTTAAGAAAACAATGCTTTATTATAATACAAATTCTCTTCTTTTGTTTTACATTTTTATTTACTTTTTAATAGATTATTTGTTTGCTTACATATATATATATATGGGGTATATGCAATCATCTTAATTTTTTTATGAAATTTTAT